CTTGGATGCAGTCCTGTGCCACGTGCTCTAAGTGACCCTGCGTGTGCAGGGGGTTGGACTAGATGATCTCTAGAGGTCCCTTCCAACCCTAAGCATTCTGTGATTCTATGATTCTATGATTGGGTTGGCTGGTTCATCTCACAGTTGGACAGACCCTTCTTACTGCTTCCAACTCTGCTGCTCTGGGCTCTCCTGGCAGTGGCCCCCACTACATGGCCTTTCCCAGCTTGGGGTGCAGCTTCGTACGTGACCCAAGTGGGCTGGAGACTCCACGACACACTCGGCTACCAGACAACAGTTGCACCTTGATCCTCTCTCCTCACCCTCCCGCCAGACTCCGTAGTCCATAGTGCATTGGTGCATTGGTGCACGGCTCCACTTTAACTCCCTTTTCCATCTTCTGGGGGCTTTGGCTCCCTGGAAGAAGGACAGGAGGGTGCAGGCAGGGAGAAGGCTCTTTCCTTCACCTCTCCATCCTCTGCCTCCAGGGGAGAAGATGACAGAGAGCGAGGTGGAGCAGCTCATGGCCGGGCATGAAGATGCCAATGGCTGCATCAACTATGAAGGTAGGAGCAAGAGATTCCTGTCTGAAATGGTGCCCCCCCTATTTTCAGGGGCAAAATGTGTTTTCCAAGAGTAAATAGGTAGTCACTGAGAGGGAGCCTCTCCAAGGAGAGCACTGAGACATTTCATCTGGGGTAGACACAAGTGCCAGCAACTTCTGGCCACAGCTCGGAGCCCCTTCCAGCCCCAGGCTGAGATGCAAGTGCACACTCTATCTCACACATTTCTCATTTTCTCTCTAGCTTTTGTCAAGCACATCATGTCTGGCTAAAACAAGAAACTCCAGGTGAGTCAGAGTCTCCCACTGATAACACTGACATTGCTACTATGGGGTATAACTGCCAGGGACAGAGAGCCTTTCCTTTGCAATCTAGTCAACTTAAAAGAAAAACAAATCAACAAGAACTGTTCCAGCTGCCCCCAGTCTCCTCTGCTACTTTCTTAGGGTTTCATTATCTCATTTTCTTTACTTAAGTATTTTTCCTCTCTTCAGCTGTGTGAAACACAGCAAGAAAAAAAAAAGACCTTCAGATACTGTTAAATACACCAATTAAACATTTTAAAATCTCTTTTCCTCTACAAATCCATTTAAACATCAGAAGGTTAAAACAGAAGCAGACAGAAGTGTGAACTTTGAATATGCAGCACTCATCTTGTTTTTAATCCATTTATCTCTGGTTCCCGTTCATCAGCTCAGCTACGTAAGTGTTTAGATGCCAAATGCTGCCAGGGAGGCTTGTTTCTACACAAAACTATTTGCATGAAACGCTGTTTTTTAATAGCACAGAAGGGTGACTATTGGCATTTTGGGTTTATCTGAGAAACAGCTCTGTCATATCAAAGATTCACTGCATTAAGCCCTCTCATTCTTGTGTTCCAGGTGCTTTTTGGAAATGTCTGGATCCACCCAAGCCACATGAACAGCGAGATTCCTTCATCTCTATCCCTTCTTTCACGGATGGCCTGAGTCTGCAGGGGTGTTTTACAAGCTGCAGCGAGGAGTCAGCCTTCATACCCATACTCACAATACAAGGGATACACATCTCACCCTTGGTTTCAAACTTAAATTATTATTATTTTTTTCTCCTGTGACATTTGGCTCATTAAATTTAATTCCCTCCCCTCTTAAGTTATCTGTGTTTTAGTTTTGGACTAGTTAGTGAATGTTAACGGAGGAGATCAGGGCCATTAGTGATCAGAGGTGGCAAGATGTCCCCATGGAAAGGGACACAAGCCTGCGTTTACGACCCCTGTGCAAGAGGTAGGGCTTCAGATTTGAAGTCTTTTCATCAGCCCACCCTCAAGGTGGGATTCCTACTTCTTCCTTAAAACCAGGTCTTTCTCAGGCATGTAGCCCATCAATAACCTGTGCATATTGTGCACAGTGCTGTGTGCATATTGCTTTCACCCCAAAATTACACGTAGAGCAGGAGGGCTTGTGCAATGAGAGCTGATGGCCCTCTACCTCTCCTACCAAAAGATCACTGTATGGTCCCAGGAGTGGTAAATAATTCATGACAGATAACTCAGCAGGGCGCTGGGAGGAGGTAATGCTTTCATTTGATTTGTGCTTTATTCAAATGTCCTTGCTCTGTGCCTTATGACTAGAAATTTAAAATATTTTGCTTCGCTGGGACTGACTTCAGTTGCCACTGGCTTGTTTCTGTTCAGCAACTGAGTAACAGCTGCTTTTAATTTAAGCAGCTTGCTGTGAATGCTTATGAGAAGCAACACGAGCTGTTTGCAGATGCAAGATTAGCTTTTAGCTTCTGTGTTAGTGGTATTTCTGCAGCTGCCATTAGCAGCTATCTGGGCATCTCGCATCCTTAATGCATTATCTGTGTTTTAACCTGTCAAAGGACTGTGGTGACAGGATGAGGGAGGACAGTGCTTGCCCTTGCCACCACCTCCGCGGCTTTGGCTCCGGCACAGAAACAAGCTGTAAGGAACGGAGCAGCAGGAAGGCAGAGGGACCTGCCCCAGCCCATGGGAAAACCCATGGCTGAGAAAGCACGAGTGCTGTGAAATGCAGCCTTGGAAGTACTTTCCAAGACACAGACAGTCCTTGGTGGGGACTGGTCTGGGGTAAAAGCAGGGTTGATTTGTAATAAAACAGGTTGGGACCACGCACTTAGCAGCCACGACAACAGTCCATGCTGAGCCCCTTTATAGCCCCAGTTGCTTCACTCCGAGTCCAGAGGGGCTCCAAGGACAGGTAAAAATAACCCCCAGCCCTGGGGGAACCTGTGGCTGTATCTCCTCGTCCATAACAAGATGGAGACGTACCCAGACATCCTGGTTTGCTCACAGGAGGTCAAAGGCAGAGACAGCCAGGTCGCATCAGTCGCGGTATCAGGAGCCAGGTCAACCCAGCAGTCAGATAGGCTCCATGCTGGGGGGGAAACATTGCTTCATGACCCAGTTTGTTGCACGTTTCCCAGCGATTGCAAGCTATAAAATACGCCATTGGGGGCTGTTGTGGGGGTTGGTACCACAGAGCTTCCCCGCGTGCAGGCAAGAGTGGATGTGAGTGCCTGCACTGAGGGGCTGCCCAACTGGCCAGAAGGTTTTCTTTTTAATTTAAGTTCACAGAGCTGCACAACTGCTATAAAGGTATTTTATTTTATTTTATTTTATTTTATTTTATTTTATTTTATTTTATTTTA